CCCCAAAACCCCAAAACCCCAAAACCCCAAAACCCCAGGAGGGGAGGAAGAAGTTGAAAATAGAAGATTAGTGCAAATTTTAAGGGGTTTTGGGTGAAAGTAGGGGAAAGGGAGGGAGTTTGGGGGATTTGGAAGGAGGGTGATGGAAATTGGGTTAATATGAGAGTTATTTCGGAGATTATGAAATGTTTTATTGGGATAATAGGGATTTCGAAGGATGAAGAAATATTCTAAAATCGTGTTTGGGTGTAATATTTTTTATATTTAGACTAATAATTTTTGATGATATATATGAAGAGACTTCAATGGATCATGGGTAAAAATCAAATGGCTGTAGAGTTATATAAATTTTATTAGTTATTTTTGCTAAAATTTGCGTAAAGTTATGATTTACCGTAAAAGTGAAGAGGTAACTAAATTAGGTCAGGTGTTAGTTATTATATCTAAAGTTAAGTGTCGAGCAGATTATCGTTGTCATAAATATGAAAAATTTAGTAAACCTATATTTTGTGTTAACTGACTTGCGAAATATTCGCCAAATTCACCTTCACACCAAGTTACTGTTCAAATCGTTTATATATGCTTTACTATTTTCATATTTAGCTAAACTTTATTGCTATAATCTGATATATACTTAATCCACTCATAATTTTAGAAACATGAAAACTTCATCCCCTTGAAATATGTCTACGGAAAAAGATTTCCAAAAGACTTAAAACTAGCCTCTGATGCTAAAATTTTATTACCTATTAATTTAGGAAGCTTCTTTAAGCTAAAAATAACAAGGTTTGAAGATCTTTGTAAATGTCGGATAACTTACTTTGTTCAGAATCCTGTACTGGGACTGAAAAATTTAGTATCATATCCTATTTCTCTCTAGTTCAAAGAATTAAGAGCATGAAAATTTTAGAGGCGACATAAACAAGTTCAAGAGTTTATTGTACCATCTTACAAACATTGCAAATGTTATAGAAATGCAGCTTTTGGAGAGACTCACCCTGATTATAAACTGAATAATTAGGACAGCACACTGATTCCTATAATCTTCTAAACTAGCATTGACCTCAAGACAATATCAGATAAAGCATCATGAGATTTTTACATATTTTTCGAGAGTCTAGATCCTTAAAAAAAGGAGGATTATTATACATTTCAAGGGTCTCATAATCCCGATATAAAATAAAGTTGAATTAAGATATAGATCTATCTAGGTGCCCAGAGCATTACTAGTATGAAGTAAATCTATTGCTAATATTATCAAGAAAATAAGAGGTATTATTAATAATCTTTTACTTCTTAAGGTATATAAAAACTTAATACTAAATTCTATAAATAATTTAATGATTGACAATACTTTTGAACTCCAAAAAATTCTCGGCAAAGGAGGCAGTTCCAAAGTCTTTCTTGCCACTGATGCTGCTCAAGCACAAGTCGCAATCAAGACAATGCGAAAAGACAAGAAATACTCCCAGCAAGTCATCGAGACACTCGTCAAGAGAGAAGCTGATATGCTATCAACTCTGGAAGGCCATCCAAACATTATCCGGTGAATGGGTTCCGAACTCAATGGAACCTTCACCATCCACAACAAATCAGAGCCTGTAGTCTACAATGTGCTTGAGTATGCTGAAAATGGAGCCTTCTCAGCCTTTGTGAGAAGCACTGGACCCATCGAAGAACAAATTGCGAGGCTCTTCACTGCACAAGTCTGAAGCGCCGTAAACCATATGCACAGTCTCGGGTATGCCCACCTCGACATAAAGTTGGAAAACATTCTGCTGGATGAACTGTTTAACGCCAAGCTTGCTGACTTGGGGTCTTGCATTGAAGCTCCTGAGTTTGACACCATGGTCGACAGACGCAGAGGGACGCTTAGTTACATGGCTCCTGAAGTTGCCAACTTGGAATCTGGCCAATCGTTCATGGCCATCCCTGCTGACATTTACTCGCTAGGAGTGACAATTTATGTTATGGTTACTGGAGAATTTCCAAGTGCCCAAATGCTGAAACAAAACGTGTCAACATCGGATTGTGATGCCAAGACCTCATGAGATGTTGACATGGAAGATGAAGAAAGCAACTCTAGATGGAACCTTGTATCATCCGAACTTAAAGAGCTACTTCAGTCAATGACTCATCCAGACCCATACAAGCGACCTCTAATGCTAGAAGTCTTGTCCCATCCATGGGTAAACTGAGAGTTCAGCCAAGAGCTGATGGAAGAAGCCTACCAAGAAATGTCGAGTCGGAAGGCTTACATGAAGACACTACAAAATTCACGCCAATAACTATAATGGAGTGTTGTTTAATAAAATTTTATCTAACTGCTCTTCCTTTCTGCTAACTTTATGTAAATAACTTAAAATTTTATTCTTCCTCAAAGAGTGCAAATTAGAATCAGATTGCTGATACAATAATAGTAACAACAACCTGGTTAATAATTTAAAATTTAAGCTTCCACTTCTAGTTATGAATTCCGTAAAAATTCAGATTTTATAAATTTACCAAATTTTGATTTGATACTATGCTTAAAAGGTACCACAGAGTGTTATTTGAAGAGTGGGCCTTGCTCTTGATGAATTTTGGATGAAATGGAGCTACAGATATATAAAATAGGTTATAAAAGCAGGTTTGGGTGATATTTCAAGGTTATTTTATAACTTGGGGTTTTGGGGTTTTGGGGTTTTGGGG